AAAGGAATGGTAGCACAGAAGCGTGGAGACGAAGTGGTAGACCCATTGATTGAAGTCATTCCCTCAGCTAGAGCTTTAAATCGGGCACTATTGGTCTGTCTCCGTTGTTTGGATTTGGATGCTAGTAAGCGACCAAAAATGGGGCATGTAGTACACATGCTTGAGGGAGATAACTTCCCCTTCCGAACTGTAAGTTTTACTAGTTAACTTTTTCTTATCTATGATCCTTCAAGTGCTTTGATGACCGCTAGAATTTGCGTTACAATGTTATAATGTTGTTGAAAAGAAGCATGGCGACATGTTGATGATCGTCCTGATCTGCGATCTAAAATTATGTTACAATAGGAATTATTATCATTTCTGTACCTCTGTTACATTTCTAGCACTATCTGATCTGTAGTTGATTTAAAAGTCATCCTTCTGCTGATCAAATATCATTTCAAACACATATCCCGTTCCTGAAAGTGCAAATTAAATCTTCATTAATAATCTTGTGATTTTAAACATTTTGTGCAGGACAACCGATCACCCAGAGACACAGGCTCTCTATCCACTCGAGCAAGCCCTATAGCAAGTAGGATTCGTAGTCCGTCCATGACAACAGGGGTTAGATCATTTCGGTATGTCGAGATGGAGTCTGGAGACAAGCTCTATGGTTGAAAATTGAAATTACTAGTACAGAAGGTGCCGAGCTGGAATAAATTTAGCACCCTGCTGTGAACCGCAGTGGTATATAGAACTCCGTATATGTCCTTTGTTCATAGTCATACTAAATTTACAGTATAGAATATCAACTTCATCGGCATTGATCCTTCATATAAAGTTTAACTTATCAGATTCTTAAACCGTTAAACAAGGACGAAAAAAGCAACCCAGGTCTCTAATTTGCACAGTACATAGTACCCTGAAGCAAACCTAAACCATTTAAGAACTTGTCCACAGACTTCAAGTGTGTACATCTTTTTCAGTTAACCGACGCACTATTTCATCAATCATGGGTCCGTCCGTCCATGCAAACATTAACTATTTCGACAAATGTGGCAGGAACCATGCATGCCACCATAAATATAAATCAAAATATTTTCACAAGATAAGGAAATTCAATTCATCATACTATATACTTCAAGTACTCAAAATAAAATGTGCACTTTCGTTTCGATTCAATCAACAGGAATAATGGTGGCAGAGCAATATAATTGCTCTATTGTCAGAAAACCTTCATATTAACGTGACCTTAATAAACAAAAAAGAAATCTATAAATGTTGATGGTGGAGCGGCTTTTGGTGGCGTTATAGGTAAATATTTCTTGTATAATTGGCCCCAGAAAGCAACAACTTATCTTCTTTTTCTTGTTCTTTAGTTAGTATCCGTTGAGATAGAGACTTCTGTTCAACTAGTCTTCTGATCTACATTTTTCAAACAAAGTTCCAATGTGTCACTTTACTATATTGTTCGAAAACTTTACTTTTTATGCTTTAGTTTTGTTTTTCCTTCCAACAGGGTTAGTCTTTCTCTTAGATCGATGATAATGATGAAATTTGATTAGAGTTGATTGAATCAAAACAATGGCGAATGTCGGTGAGAACTCTGACGAGAAAACTCCGGTTTTTGAGTTGAAACTTTACATTGTAATTGGAATTTGCATGTTTTGTGTACTTGCTAGTGTTGTAGCTATTGTTTTTTGTTTATACTCAAAACGAAACTCGAGAAAACATAAAATGCATTTGAAGAGAGATGTAGGTGCTGAAATCCCAATTGTGTCAAAGAAAGTTATAGATGATAAGAATATAGATCGAAAAGAGAGTAGTAAGATGGATTTTACAGTGAACAAAGAGAGAGATGAGAAGGGTTTTGGTTGTGTGAATAAAGATAATGTGATATATATTGGTAGTGGAAGCACAGAAAGTACCATTTCAGCTGATACCAAGAGCACATCATCTGTGGTGTCGTCCGATACACCAAATATCGGGTGGGGGCAATGGTACACTTTGAAAGAGCTAGAGATTGCCACTGGTGGATTTTCGACAGAAAATGTGGTTGGAGAAGGAGGATATGGGATTGTTTACAGAGGAATTTTGCCTGATAATTCAGTAGTTGCAGTGAAGAATCTTCTAAACCAGAAGTGAGTATTTCTTTGTCTTCAGTGTACATGTTAATTCTGTACATTTCAGATTTTGTTCTCATTCAAGAATTCTTACTGGCATTATAAAGATAGTGTACTAAACCGCAGCATTTTAGATCTGTCTTGTTCTGAATCTTTTGTGACTGAGATCAATTTCTCCAGTGTAACTCATAATAGTCAATTGCCGCGATTTAGATCCCAGCATACTTTATGGTAATCAGTGGCTGTTTTGTATGTTAGGGGACAGGCAGAGAAAGAGTTCAAAGTGGAAGTTGAAGCCATTGGAAAAGTAAGACATAAGAACTTAGTGAGTCTTATTGGCTACTGTGCTGAAGGTACTAGAAGGTATTAGCCGTTACATCCTTTTATATGTTTAGAAATGATTAGATCTTTATGGATTTCTTCTTAATGTGGTGGAACTTCTTGTTAATAATCCAGGATGCTTGTGTATGAATATGTTGATAATGGCAATTTGGAGCAATGGTTGCATGGTGATCTTGCACATATTTGTCCCTTGACATGGGATACTCGGATGAAGATCGCTATAGGGACAGCAAAAGGGTATGTCAATCACACACATCTCATTTCTTCTTTCGCAGTGCAGTATAGATCGATTTGATTCTATTTTTCTGCTCGCTTACGAGCCTACTGAAGTGATGGATGTGGCCTGATCAATTTCAGAATAGCTTATCTGCATGAAGGACTAGAACCCAAAGTCATACACAGAGATATCAAGTCCAGTAACATTCTTCTGGACAAAAAATGGAATGCAAGGGTCTCGGATTTTGGATTGGCCAAACTCTTGGGGTGTGATGCAAGCTATGTAACTACACGTGTAATGGGAACGTTTGGGTCTGTTCTGTCTCTAATTCATGGCTAGAAATCTCAGTTCTAATTGCAGCGACTGCCCACCAGCCCGCATTTTCTTTGTATATATCCTTCTGTAACGTTTTACGTACTGTTCATTCTGTTGCGTGCAGATGTGTGGCTCCCGAGTATGCAAGCACAGGTATGCTTAGAGAGGGCAGTGATGTGTATAGCTTTGGTGTTCTACTAATGGAGATGATTTCTGGAAGGAGCCCTGTTGATTATACCAGACCAGCTGGAGAGGTAATGACGGCTTTTCTTATTAAAAATAATTTCTCCAACTGCAACATCTTTGGTGTAACACGATGTATAATACACCTTTTAGGTCAACATGGTTGATTGGTTTAAAGGAATGGTAGCAAGTCGACGTGGAGAGGAAGTGCTAGATCCATTGATAAAACATCTCCCATCATCTAGAGCTTTGAAACGAGCGCTACTAGTCTGTCTCCGCTGTTTAGATTTGGATGCTAGTAAACGACCAAAGATGGGACAAGTGGTTCACATGCTTGAAGGAGATGATTTCCCTTTCCGAGCTGTAAGTCTGGTTCTTACAATTTTAATCGTTTCTTTTTTTAACCATCCAGTTCCCTTCCAAAGTGCTCTGATGACTGCTGAAAATGCTTGTCAATGACTTAATGCTTAGTACAAATATGGTCGAACCCAATCCATCCTAATCTCTACATTATCAATAGTGTACTAGTTTTCCACAGCTGGTGCTTGTTACAGTGGTTCACAAATAACAAGTATTGAGTCATCTGTCAAAACCAAACCACTTTATCATTAGGTTCATTTTGCGATGTGAGTTTAAGATAGTTTCAATTCGTTACTCTACCTCTATTCTAGTTCCTGTTTACCATAACCTCTACCTTCTAAACTTGATCTGAAAAACAAAAAAACAAAAAGAGAAAAGAGTTTTTCCTTCATACCTATTCATCAATCGTCATATGATTCCAAACATGTTTTGCAGGAGACCAGATCAGCACGAGACAAAGCCTCCTCCTGTGCAGGTGCCACTGTCACAAATAAGAATTCTACTCAGTCCTGACTAACACCTCTATGTCGTAATGTAGTCTATATTCAATGGCTTAAATAATGGGCTCATCGAAAGCAAAAAGTTTGTAGTCAGTACTATATTCCAGTGATTGTAGAACTTATATATACTTTATAGGCATGTACTCATAGTTCAAAACTTCAAATCAGAATTATATTTCTTTTGCTGAACCCCCCCCC